TCCTTTTCTATCAGAGGCGAGTCTATTTCGATTTACAGCTTTCTAGTTTAAGAAAATAATCGTGGTTCCGGCCATAAGTAGTTTAGTAATGACTGATTTTACGTACATAAATTGATTTAATTAATTAATTAATTTAATGGTCAAAAATGCCGAAAATAGAAATAGTAGCTCCATCCTTTTCTAGGATTAGCGCTGATCTCAAGGATTTCGGACGTGTATTGCGGCACGTAGGCACATCATAGCGTCACGGAAATTTCCGTACTAAATTACACATTTATTAGAATTAAAAATAAAATAATACATAATTTGGTTTTAATCATTCTAACTTAACATCCAATTATTGGTATGAAAAATATATTCTATATCAGAATTATAAGATAATTATAAATAAAATATATATATATGTATCTACTCTGATTACCGACTGTTGAATTTGATAGATCGATGATCGATACGCGACATACTGTCGATAATTTGACAACTACTGTCGGTAATTGGGTATTCTAATAGGTGGGCAGAAGATTGTCGTGATGTTGGTGGTAGGGAAAAAAAAAACGTTTCCCCAGAGACGTTACACATGTAAATAAACGGTTTACGGTTGGTGACTTAAAAAGTATAAAAATCGACGTGCTATATGTCTTACAGCAGCTGTTTACTTGGCGTCCGTTATATTGATGTTATACCACATTTCACCGTTTATTTTTGATATAATTGTGCCCCTCAATGAATCCCATCCAGTAAAGATTCCAGTAGATGCGGTAATTTTTTTCAACGAGCAGAGTCATCCAATTCCTGTTACTGTTATTTACTTATTTTGGATAATAATGCTTGGAGCTATATATGGTGGAACAGAATCACTAACGATTATGGTCTGCTTCCATGCCGCCAGCTTATATGAAATTACTCGATAATATTGTGAGATAAATATTGTTCATAATTAATTATGTTTAATTATTCATATATACAATATTCACTTAAACTGAGCTAAATAAAATCTTTGAAACAGAGATGAGATGTTGTAAAAAAATAGTTAATTGTAGGGATACCTTCAAGAAGGATGCAATTTAAATCTAAAAAGAAGGTTCTGCTTATAATTGAATAGGTGGTATATGTACTACCACGGTCGAATATTATATTATTTATCTAATCGAGTTGTTTACAATTATTTTCAGTTATTATTTCCAAACAGCTGTTTCTATCGGAATAACTGATTCTCATATTCCACGTAAATGTGCGAATAATAAGAATATGAGTTATTTAATTAAAAGTGTGATCATACATAAAGAAAGCATTCAATGGGTATATTTATATACTTATGATAACAAATTCTAACAGTTTTAGTAAATTACATAATGTACAGACAAGAAAGTGTATTACAATTTTTAATACTTAAAATATTTCCATTTTAAACTAAACCAAGTAATTTATACATTTCGAACATGTGTGACGACCCTGGAACCTAAGTTCAGATAGTTACAAGCGCTAGGAAGGTAAAGAGCGGCTTTTACCCACTGAACGACTCGTTTGCGCAAATAGAGATTGTGGGATTCGTGTTTTGTGCAGTTAAGGAGTGAAATCCACAGGTTAGGTTGCAATCCACAATATCTTTCAACAATTAGATTTATTCAATAAACGATAAGAAAAGAAACTAACAAACAATAATAACAACAAAATAAAGATATATATACATATATATATATCTATTACATCTTGTTTAATTTGTCAAATTCTATTTGACAGTTCTATTTGAAATAATAGAATTTGACAAATTAAACAAGATGTAATAGATAATCGTGAATTTAACGAAATGAAACTCGCTGATTAATACTTCATATTGAATCGTATATAAATCTGATCTCTGATAAAGCTAACTTTGCTTTTATAAAGGTAACCAAATTTGATATTCTTTATATATTCGATTCTCGGGTTCGAAGCTATCGCAATGACAAGATTTATCTTGATTTGTACGGTTGTGATTTATATAAATGCTCTTTGACGAAATTAATTAATATTAGCTTTATAGACTACCGCTGCGAGGAATCCGACTTAAGTGTGACTCTCTAAGTGTACCTAAATACGCTTTCGTAAAATTAGACAGATTTTATTTATTATCTAACGCGGTGTAGTCGACTACGGAAATTACGCTAATGACAGAACAATATTCTTTTACTAATTAAAAGTTCCAAAATTTGTTTGGATCTAATGAATTTTACTCGGAACAGTTACTCTTTCTTAATTTGACTCGACAACTAATTGTCCATGACCCTTTTTGTCAAAACGAACACTGACAACCAAAACCAGATCGCTTAATTGGGGAGCCTGCTGTTCGCTGGCTACTAGAACGACCCAACGATACCAGAATAGGGTGAACAACGTAAGTCTAACAGGGTAGCAAATTAAAATTGACTCTAATTATAAAATCGTAATTGCTGAACTGCCACCCAAAAGACACGGGCTTCAGAGACCAAGCCGCTCAAATGGGGAGCCTGCTATTCGCTGGCTACCCTGATATTCGCTAGCTATGAAACTACCCAGAGCGAACTCCGAGAATCTGACAGCGCGTTAGCAATCCGATGAAAAATCAAATATGAGTAGCTGAGAATTCTCGGTTTGATGTCTTGGCCTTTCTTGGCGAAAACATCATTGGTAGAGCACTCTTCTGACGGAGTTTCAGATACAAGACCGTTTGAATGGGGAGCCTGCTGTTCGCTGAACACTAGAACGACCCAGCGATCAGGTATCCAAATGGCGTATACCCGTTTTACTAATGAAGTATTAAGAATCATGTTGGCTCTTGACAGCGAAAACTGTTCCGGTTATACTTATTTGAAGACTTCTAGCTCGCTCGATTTCGAAAACTGTTCTGCGATTTAAGCGGGTTTCGCTCGGCCTTTTATACTCACAAGCCTGTCGATTTCTTGGAAAACTCCCATAACGTCGAAATATATAATTGTCGTATAAACTCGTAATTAGACATTAATTATGAAAATGAACGGTTTAATTACATTATTAATATTGTATTCTACTCGGTAGTTTATATTCCTGATATAAAAATAGTAATTTAGTAGTGTTTTAATGAAAATTACATTTCCTATCTTCACTATACGGGTCGAATCTAAATGTATAAGCACACGTGTTTCTAGAACATTCCATTAAATAATATTATAATTTACAATATACACTGCAATAAACTAATATCTGACTTTAGTTCCGGATAACACAACATTAGTACGCTTGATATGTATTGATTGATTTGTTTAACTAATAAGTTTTAATAACTATTAATGTCTAATTGTAATATGTATTCCTATCCTTCTCTAACAATAAGATAACGCGAGAATACTAGGAAATTCGGGGCGAGCATCGCGGCACGTAGGCACATAGCATTACGGAATTTTCCATATAGAACTATACATTTATTACCGACAGTTTACTGAATTCTTATGATACCTGATTTGTCTAATGTCGCGGTCGGTAAGAGAGAAATACAGTCGATAATTGAAGAAATGACATGGCTGGGATAAAAGTTTGAAAATTCTTCAGGGATGTTACAAAAGCGTAAATGAAAGAATCCCGTGACTAATGAAGACAATAAAATTAATATTTTAGCAGGTGTGGTTGTCAATCCACATGTTAGTGCAAGAGAAATTTCTCTCTCTCCACCTAACATGCAGATATAAATCAATGTAGCGTAATACGAGTTCTGACTCAACGTAAATTACATCCGTTTTACATAATTCTACATCAAGAATTACACAAAAGTGATTTTCAGAATAGAATTAATCTTTGTTAGTGGAGATTGTAACAGAATTGTTCATTTTTTTCGAATGCCTTGTCTACGGATAAAACAACATTCAGTATTCACGGATCAATTAATCTTCGGAATGGTCATTATTCGTCCAGATACAATGGAGCGTAAATGTATGATGTGGGAGTTTAAACGAAAATGTAATCGGACTATATTTCATTATTGAGACCATGACAGGACAAAAATATGTTACATTTTTGCGAGATTTACCAATCTTGTTGGAAAACGTTCTCATTATGCACGAGTAACAATGTTGGACCGTAAGTTTCGAAAACATTGAATTGAACGAGGTGGAACGGTTTCATACGGCTTACATAAGAATGTAGGCCAGAAATAATATCAATCTATCGGCTAATGTTGAATACATTGCAAATGTGTAAGTCGCTTTGTTAAGAATCAGTGAAAAGGATCGTGTCATATACCGATAAGTATATATAATAATGTACATTTTTGAATGACTTCATCAATATTGTCGCAAATTTTCACTGTTTAGAATGAAAAAAGCACATCCTCCACAACATTTAATTATCAAGTGTAGAGTTTGCTAAGCATGAGTCTCGCTTTCGTCGTTTTTTTCACAGATTGTGTAAGTCGTTAAGCAAACGCCACCCGTAACATCATATCTTCAAAAATCAAATTCTGTGCATCGTTTCTTCGATAATACTGTGATCTTCAGATCGCTGTCGTCCGCGTATGTATCTGCAAGCGAATCCAAGTTCCCTGTCCGGCATACAGTAACACTATCATTATAAACTGGAACAAAACATAAATGGACATAGTAAAGTTTTAAACTGAAAAGTATTTGCAATGTATAATTATATCAAATTTTTATCATGATTTTGCAAATCTGAAGACTGAATGCTATACAAGTAACTAAATTACAAAAAATAGTTACTAAAATTCAGTCATATTACAAAAACATAAGTAACTGTAAAATATGACCAGTTCGAAGTGTATATGTGTAATGGTGTTTCAAGTACAGTTAATTTATAAACTATATAATTCTTCGATTTACGAAATCATTTATTTAAAAGTCAAGCGTAATATTCACATTTGACATAAGCATAAAAAATCTTTCCTCGTAATACGTTAATAATAGACTGTCAGTCGGATTCTACAAGAGAATAAATTGCACACATGTCAAACAAGTACAAAGATTTACAAAAGTTAGTACTTATAATGATACTTGTAAAGAATAATAACAATAAATATTTATACATGTATTTAGATTAAATTAAATATTAGTTCCCTTAGATATACCTGGGTTAGTGAAAGATCATATCCTTCCCACAAGTCATAACAGCACACATTCGTTTTTAAGCTAGAGTATTCCACGTAAATGGTATCAATTTGCAGCAAAACTTTCCCATTGAATGACTGAAAAGTCTTTCAGCCACTGCCTCCAACACTTGAAATTTTAAACGGCATTTCTCCACCTAAAAAAGTAGGTAAATATGGGAGAAAATCATTACAAGTGATTGAATAAATTAATTAAATATACTGTCACACTGAATTTACTTCTCGTTGAGATTATAAATAGAAAATCAAGATAAAGGATTTTACTCTACCGGCAATGTGCAATTTAACAATTTCAGTTGATCAATGAGTACAAATACGTTAAATTCGTTTCTGTTTTATAATGGTGCAGAAAATTATTGTTAGAAGCACTCTTTTAACACACGAAAGTTAAAAAGGTTAGTGTCTTGGATTTCCCGTGGTTTCGCGGGTTGAATCCGTTGACCGGTAATTCGAGTATTTTCGAAAAGCGCTTCCCGGGATTAAAATAACCCTGACCACGTAAAGATCTATGTGTAACAAAAAACACATACACGGAAGGGGAGAATTAGGCCGGAAAGGCTGAGCCGATGGGAATTCGCAGAAAGAAATTAATCGCTCTTAATCTGCGATAATCGTGAGTCGCGAGACACGGTTGAACCACAGTATAAGAAAGCACAGTAGGTTCACTCCGTGTCTGCACTTTTGATCTCATGACCAAAAGATCGCCATGTTGCTGGTTGTGCACGGGCTCTAATTTGAAAGACACAAACAGAAAGAAAGAATTTTACTAAATATTTTAAAAGAAAATAAGACTTTAGAGTAATAACTCACTTGATGGGAAGAAAGTTAGAGCTATTGTAATTATATGGTACATAAATTATTGTGTATACTTACAAATAATTAGCACCTTTATGTTTATTTTGTTGTACATATGTATTAATTTATTTTTAATTAAAATACAATTTCATCAAAATCATTGTATAAGAATACAATTATTATATACAATAATTAATAAATATGTGCTTCCTACATCGTTATAAACGACGTTAGAAAAATATAATCTGATAATCATAATATTGACAAATGTGTATCCATCCTTGATCCATCAGTCATAATGTGATTTAGATGCTGAATTCTTCTTTTTCTTTATTAATTTCAGTTGATTGATGTATACTTTGATAGCCTTTTATACAACACCATTTTGCTTCACACTTTATATATATATTTATTTATTTATTTTAAAAAGTAGGTGACAAAAATAACGAGCATATGTGCTATTACCAGCTATTCACAACCGCCATGTTGCTGATTGTGCGATTCGGTCATGCGCGAGTGACAAATGTTAGGCCACTTTTGGGCAGAGTGAACCTACTGTGCTTTCTTATACTGTGCTTCTACTATGACACTGGGCCAATGATCATAGCAGTCGAGGCCCTTATAAAATCAATTAATCAATCTACTATGACACTGACCATTAAATTCAACCGCCACAGACATGATTTATGTCAGACCGACTTCTTAAACAAATCAGTTTATTTTTATTACATTATTAATATGTATTTTTTCTATCAAGTTAGCTTATTATAAACTAGCATTGTTCTCTTCAACACGTATAATATATTATCTGTCTGTATCTACAGAAAACATTGAAATTAAACAAATAAGATTAAAAATTATTTTGAAGTGAATTTATGTTTATAAAACAATCGGAAAAAAGTGCCCAACAATTTTTTTGTTTTGTTTTATTTAATTGCTGACTTTTTATCGATTAGAAAATCAAATTTATTTAATAATTTATGCTACGAATTGATTTGATTTGCTTTACAACCTCATGTCATAATATGAATTTTTTCTGATACAGAGCAAGTCCGTAATCTCCTCGAGTTAGAACTTACTTGAGTTTCTATTTATAAAACACCAAAAAATATTTCAGATAAAAAGGGAAAATACTCACCCGAATATTTCAAAAAATTCTTGTTAGAATATAATCGATGTCGTTGGTTTACTCGAAAATTTTACCTCAATGTACCAATTGTCGATTATAGTCGCTCGCCATTTGAATAATTATGCCGTGGAACCACACACGCTATTATTAGTTTCTTACATTAACACGCTCATCGCCGCGTCACCCAGATTTGGGTGACGGATATGCTTCCGTGGGGGCCCCGTCACCCATATTTGGGTGACGCTCTTCTTATTCAAGTTAATAGGACTTTCAGTTGGATTTTTAAAAGGAATTTAATGGAATAAGCACTAAAATATAAATATAAAATATATAACACAAAAATATACATATTATACTATACTTTTTACTAATTTATATTTAGGATAACATATTACATTATACTATGTCGCATGGTGTTCATTTAAACATTTTAAACACATTTGAGGTGATTTTGGACAATTGGAACAATAGGTCGTAGTTTTGTTTATATTTTTTTTTACATTCTGAAAATAAAAAGGTCACCGACGTGTGTCCCAAAAAAGTACGCTTCTTGACTATATGAAGGAGACTTGCAGAAAAGTCATACGTGCGTCTCAAAAAATGTATGCTTCTCGACTAAATCTGAGATACATAACTGTAGTAAGATCCGTTGTCATGGTCACCGAGGCATCTATAGCTGCGATGCGTGCGTTGACTAGAGTGTTATTAGTAGTAGTGTAGGGTAGTAGTAGATAAGTCGAGTAGGATATAAGGACGTGGGACACTAACAATGTTCAGCTGATTTGGCGCTCCGACAGTCGGATTCGGACCCCGCGAGAAACTTAACCGAATCGCGCTGGGCGACGAACGTGTTAATAGCACATGGTAAAAAAATATATTTACAAAAGTAATATGAAACAGAAAATAAATTGTTGAAAAGTATATCATCAATCAATCGAGATGAAAACTCACAAGAAAGGTACGGAAATGTCCTCTTCCGATTTTGATGAAACTTCATACGTTTGTTAAGCAGGCAAAAATAAGAGTACGAAACGCGAAACGAGTTGTCCATTACGGTCTAAATTTTACGCATCGAGGGCGATGAATACTTCTTTCCACGATTCATACTTTTCGGACTTGCCGTTGGGATTGTAGACCCCCGGCTATCGGTTTCGGCAGGCAGAGTCAAACGTGCGGCACTTACCGTAATAATAAAACCATTTTTATGACTTACTACTCAAATCGAGACGTCTCTGCTGAAAATCAGTAAATTTCTAAGCGTTACATCACGAAAACTGATAAAAATCGGATAAATACATTAATTCTTAATGAATTTGTTTTGAAAAGCACTATCGCCTGATCGAAAAAAATATATAGTTCCATCTAAGAAACGAAACTTCACCATTGTATCGTTTGCATTAATAACATTAAAAAAAATTTGTTTACGCCAAAACATAGAGCCCCTTTTATACTGCAATTTCCATATACACACTTTCTCGTGTCATCAATCGTTCATGAAATATCGCGCTGTCAAACTTAGGCGTGGACAGCCCACAGGCTGCTGTTCTCATTCTGACGCATTGTGGCTCTAAAAATCGCTTCACAGTCATCTATTTCTACTCTAACTCGTTCTTCGACTTCTTCTTCGCGAGGCACGAAATATTGGCGCTAGAATTGTTTATTCTAGATGCTATCTTCACATTGACCCTATCTTTAATGGTACTTGCCTTTCCAGCTAATCCTGATACTTGTATATCTGTGAGTTCGTATTTAATATCTTACTTCTTACACAGTCTGTATATCAAAAAATTTAATTGCGATCTAGAATCTAATAAAACACGACACTAGATCATTTAGCCCTGCCTATTCTCAATATGCACGATGGCCGTGGACAATACGCTTTGTACTAATTTATTGGTGTGTGAGTGCGCGACGTATGATAATGTTGTATCAGGTCGAGACGGTCCTGCTTCTGCGAAGACAGCTGTGATAAAACGCGGAGCTAATACGCGGTGCAGCAGATTGTAATGTTTTTTGCCACATAGATTGCAATGTTTGCGTATACAAGTTTTTACGCGGTGTCCCGTTGCAAGCAATTAAAACAGCTCTGAGAGATTCAGACTATTTGCGTTTTTTTCATTAATGGACAAGCCTTAAAATTTGTCGCACTTGAATAAGAGATGTGCGGTACTACATGCGGGACAGGTATCCAGTGAACTTGTGAGTTAGGTCGTTACACGAAACGGCTTGCGACTACCTGCGGGTCCTACTGAAAGTTCAACTTTTGCTACAGCCACCTGATTCTGTGACGATATACTTTCTAAGTATGATGACCGCTGTTCTAGAAATATAGCGAAGTTTCTGTATGTAATTCTATTTTATGTTATTAGACCCTTTTCCCATTCCCTTAATGAGGTACCGTCTAATTTTCTCGACAGAATTAGAACAACTAAATTATCTCATGAATCATTTAACGATTTTAGTGCTGCTAGATGATTTCGCACATCATAAACTAACTCTCGAACTGCGGTTGACGACTGTCTCCGGATTGATGGAATATTTAAGAGTTTTGTGACATGATGTTTTCGGAGGGTGATTGATGGAATATTTAAGAGTTTTGTGACATGATGTTTTCGGAGGGTGATTGATGGAATATTTAAGAGTTTTGTGACATGATGTTTTCGGAGGGTGGCTGAATTTTCATACTACGACTTTAAGGCATTCAATACTACGTGATAATTCGAGTCGGAAACTCCTAATGATTGAATAACTCGCGCGGTTGAACCTTTTAACGAAGAGTTTAAGTAATGGAACTTTTGCACATCTGATAATTCGGTTTCATGCACTAACCTATTAAATATATTCCTAAATCTAATCCAATCATTGAGGTTGACGTCAAACGTTGGCAAATGTATTGTCGGCAATTTCACAGTGAGAGATGCTTGCGAGAACGTGAGAAACGCGGCTTGTCTTAAAATCTGATTTCCTGCTGTACTTTGCGATCGCGAGTTTTCTATAAATGACTCGATTTCAGCTATTATATTAAAATACGTTTCCTCAAACGCGTCTCTATTTACTGCGTAAGTTGCTTCTGACATGAATCTGTTCCCTAAGTTGCACACTCGATTTGACTTTGAATTACATTATAGCTATCATATAACTCTACGTTTGCTTCTAACCGTTTTTCGAAGGCTTTTAATGATACTATTTGCCCCGATTCGTGAAAATATCTGTTTAATCGAGCCAAGGCGACCTTAATCTTGCTACGATTGTTAATATGCTTTCCGAGGTCGGCCTCCATTCTACGCTGTTAACCCTTTCACTACGAAATACGTAAATATACGTCCTGAGAAGTTGTGACGATTACGTTACGAGCCGTCAGCCGCGTTCCGTCAGCCGCGCTCCGTCGACCGCGCACCGTCACCCGCGCATCGCGAGGTGGGGACCCCCCACCGAGACCACCCACCGCGACCCGATACTACTTAGATAGCGATCGATCGCGTGATCGATTGAGTTGGCCCGGGGCTTCGGCCCCGAAAGGATCTCATCGGGGTTCCTCTTCAAGGCAGTAAGGTCTTCCTAGTCCGATGATAGTCTCGGGCTGGGTGGACTGGAGGCCAGCATCGGCGTGGAGGGTAGCCCACGCGTCGAAGCTGACCGCGTCAACGGTCAACCGACTTATCCGATTTCGTGGATAGCCCTCGGGGAAGGTAAGCCGTGGGTAGTCGTTACGTTGGGGAGATAGCCCACAGCGTGACGCCTGCCAGATCGTGGAGGGTAGAATGACGCCTGCCAGAACGTGGAGGGAAGAGCCAACTTCAGGAACTCTCTCGGGCTTAATAAGAGAAAGGCAAGGCCAGAAGTGGCCACTTACCCCGTGTACTTTATTCTCCTCCCCTCCTCCTTCTCTCAATCGCGCCGAACCGTAGACATAGGTACCGCGAAACCTGCGAACACGTTCGACCGACCGTACCGCGAACTCCGCAAGATGTTCCCTCTGTCCGAACCACGAACACCGCAAGATGTTCCCCCGACCGACCTATAACTCCGCGAGGCGTTCCCCGGATCGACCGACCGTACCGCGAGCGTCGCCGGATATTTTTTTTTTTTTTTTTTTTTTTTTTTTTTTTTTTTTTTTTTTTACGGGGGGAAATCTTCTACAAGCGGGGGTAGTGTGGTATTTCTACCCACTACAACCCCTCGGTGATGCCCATCCTCTGCGGCATGACGGGCTATGGGGTCGTGCCATATTCGTCGCCACGGCCCGCCAATGGAAACAGTCCTGGAACTCGTTTTTCGGAATAGCCTTTAGAGCTTTCGTCGTATTAGTTTCAACCGTTTCTTTATCGTCGAATCGGTGTCTTTTGAGTGGCATTTTCAATCTTCGAAACAACCAAAAATCGCAGGAAGCTACATCAGAACTGTACGGAGGCTGATGGAGCTGTATGACTTTGTGCTTCGTCAAATATTGTTGCACAAGATTCGATGCATGCGCTGGTGCGTTATCGTGATGAAGAAGCCAATCACCGCTTGACCAAAACTGGGGCCAAAACTAGTTTTCGGTATTGCAAGATCACATTCTAGTTCTCGCACAGTCAATCGACGATTTTTGTTGATCGCAAGTCGCACACGTTCGATATTATTAG